GTGTATAAGAGCTTCTGTGAGCGTAGTCAGCCAGGTGACTCATGGTGACAAAAGAATGTTCCAAGGCTTCCTCAGGTGTTATTCTCATCTCAGCATCTGAATTGAGCAACATTTGAAGGAGATTTAAGAATGCCCTTGTGTCTTCAACTTCAACCTCCTCAATTGCATTTGAATGTATGTCTACTGCGTCAGCCAAATTTCCGATTTGGTCGAAATCCCACTGTGACAATTGCAGCTGGTCATCATACTCTTCTGGTGTCTTCAGTCTCCATCGTGAATTGGGAGTGCAGCGATTCCTCTTGAAATACCGGTGAGTGTATTTTCCAGCATCTAGCAGGTGGTCTTGTGGCTGACCGAGCAGACAGCAAATAGTTTTCATTACGTCGTACGATGATTCTCCTTTGAAGATGTCCTTGCAAAAAAACAAAGTTGCCATGAGACATCCCAGTGACCACATGTCAATGGCTTCAGATATGGGGAGGCCCAAGGACACTTCTGGTGCTCGGTATGCATAAGGTTGTGCAATCATTCCTTCCCATACTTCGGAGGCTGGCATGGCCAAACCAAAGTCAATTAATTTCACTCTGAAGGGCTCATCTTGGTGGTTGACGAGCATAACGTTGTCAAGTTTTAGGTCTGCATGAAGGAGGCCGATACCCTTCAGGGCGTTGAGTGCTACAAGTAACTGACGGGTTATAGGACGGATTTCATTAAGAGTATATCGTTCCTCTCTCTGTACCATCAAATCCAAAAGACTCCTGTCTAGACACTCAAAAGCGATGCAAGACTTGTCATCGACTATAAAACTGTCCATAAATCTCACCAAGTTGTTTTTCTCTGGGTCAAGTGTCCTGAGCTTTTCCAGCATTTTTACTTCCTTGGCATAATTATTGACGTCTTTGAGGATCTTAATGGCCGTATTCTCATTTGTATTCATATTGACACACTTGGCTACTTTGCCAAAACCTCCTTCTCCAATAAACTCCAATACTTTGTATTGTACAGACTTGTTGTGGAGTATAAAAAGCTCGTCTTCCTGCAATGGTTCCGGTGAGGTTGGAGTATCACAGTCGGATTCCATGCAGGATGATTCCTCACTGCTGGAGTTGTCCATATTTGTGAAAACCTCACCTGACTTTGTGCAGATGAGTCATTGTACTGGGGGTAAAACGTTTTTTCAAAATTAGACAGATGCTCACAACTTCAGCTCTCAGGAGCTCTGCAGTGGCCCCTTCTGTTATGCTCTGAGTTATGGAATGCCTCCTATTTCTAAAGAAGACTGATGAGATCACATGACAGGCATGTAACCATAGCAACCAATTTACGTCATCAAATGGTTTCTATGGTTACATTCCTGCAAAATACGTCATCATTTTCTCCAGTGTCTTGCGTTTGTCTGTGCCACAAATTGTCGGAAATGAACCATGACGTAGGCGGAGAGCTGGCGGAGGTGCGAATGGCCCGAATTAGCATATGAATGCAGCGAAACCGCGGGTGGCCGAGCCGAGCGGGCTTGAATATCCTTACTCCTTATTGGATGAAACCACAACCCACTAACAAATAAAATCACTCGTGATTGGCAGCAAAACCACACCTGGGCAGACCAGGCTTGAGTTTCCTTGTTCATGATTGGATGAAACCACAACTTTCAATCACTCGTGATTGGTTGGCAGATCTGTCGCTGTTGGTCACCCGCCTTATTTTATTTATATATATATTATATCATATTATGCTGTATATTCATTTCATTGTTATCCTATGTAGGCTACTACACTATTATTAGGATACCAACCAGGACGTCAATGAATTTATAGAGAAAATGAACATTTGACACATGTTTATGCAAAGAGAGCTTTATTAACAACACACAAACAACAACTACATACAAAGTGAGGATCTGCCCACACTTGGGTAACGGCGGTTTAAAAACTACAGCTCAGTAAACTGTCCGTTTGCCTCCTCGGGGTCGTTGACCGTCACTGGCGCCGTGTTTTCCGAGGCAGGTCTGTTGTGCAGGCGGCTCGTGTGCGTGTGGCGACCGTACGATCCACCCGAGACGCCGCCAACAACGCCGTCCCCTCCGCCCGACGCGAGCTCCACGGTGGCGGATTTCCACCTCGTCATCAGCCAGCTCACTTTGTCTCGATTCCAGCAGCTGTAAAAACAACAATGAATCAGTACTGTGCGATGCGTACGGACACAACACATCGATCAATGCACCTGAAACAAGTCAGCAAATAAACTCTGACCCGCTTTCTTCTCGCTCGACTCCGCGCTGAATCCTTCGCAGCTTCCTTCGCAATGAGTGTTTTCCGCCTGAACCTGAAGCTCCTGCGTCCCGTCTCACAATACGTCTCACAGGCGGCTGGAAAACAATTAAATGTGTGGTATGAATACAAAAAAACCCAAACGCAAGTCGCAGTAACATTTAACAAGGAAGGAGAAACAGTGTCACTTACACACAAAGAAAACGCACTTTAATAAAGCGGGTCCTGAGCTTTTCCAGCATTTTTACTTCCTTGGCATAATTATTGACGTCTTTGAGGATCTTTATGGCCGTATTCTCATTTGTTTTCAAATTGACACACTTGGCTACTTTGCCAAAAGTTCCTTCTCCAATAAACTCCAATACTTTGTATCGTACAGACTTGTTGCAGAGTATGAAAAGCTCGTCTTCCTGCAATGGTTCCGGTGAGGTTGGAGTATCACAGTTGGATTCCATGCAGTATGATTCCTCACTGCTGGTGTTGTCCATATTTGTGAAAACCTCACCTGACTTTGTGCAGATGAGTCATTGTACTGGGGGTAAAAAAAAATTCAAAATTTTTTCAAAATTAGACAGATGCTCACAACTTCAGCTCTCGGGAGCTCTGCAGTGGCCCCTTCTGTTATGAGTTATGGAATGTCTTGCCTTATAAGGATCAAAGGAATGACTGGTGAGATCAAATGACACGCATGTGACCATAGCGACCATTTGATGATGTCACACAGTGGTCAAATGACACTGTCGGATGTCGGATGTCATCAAATGGTTTCTATGGTTACATTCCTGACGATCAAATGACACGCATGTAACCATGGCAACCATTTGATGACATCACACAGTCATGAAAATGGTTTCTTTGGTTACATTCCTGCAAAATAAATGCTTTATTTTCTCCACTGTATCACACACAAAAAGGAGAACTATACTTGAATCTCAGGAATCAACAAAAATATCTCAGACCGCTATGCTATGAACACAATTTCCTCGTTATCTTTTTTTTTAAACCAATGCATCAATATTTTTGATCCGTTATTAAAAAGTTAGCACTCCTTCACGCTGATATTTTTCTAGGAGGGGTAGGATTTATTTTCCTTTACCCAATCGGGAGGCATTTCTCAAAATAAAAAATGAAAAGCATATATGTAAAACTGCTGTGATTGACACTGATGCTCAACAACTGGAAACACATTAGACCAGAATGAGAAACACGTAGATTATCAATGTTGTTACATCACAATTAATATATTAGGTACTCATAACTCAAAAACAAAAGAACACTTTTTATTATTTTTATTTAAAGTTACTATAGAATACATAGGGGCAAGCATGCACCATTACAACAACAGCAACCCAAAAAGACTAACAAACTGACAAGGTGACAAGGGACATCAACGTCGTTGCACTCGTTTCAATTCATGGCCCCTAAGGCTGGCGCATGCTTCTGCGTCCAAATGTCTTGCGTGTGTTGCAGAGCAATTCACCGCCAGAACAACAGGTGGAGTAACGCTTTTTGTTGAAGACGACCTAGAGAGTCACGTCTTTGTGTGTGGAAGTTGTTGGTTTGTTTATTTATTCATCATAGACTTTATTGCCCTGTGCATCGCCACTGCTGCTTTTCATCGCGGACACATTTGTCCCGTATTTTCCTCCACAACTTTGTTCCCCTCGACCGGCAAACCAACGTTTGCAGAGATCTCCCTCCATGAATCAGAGGCCATCCGCGCCTCCTTATAGTCCGCCAATGATGGCTTGTAGAAGCGGTCATATTTACGCATTTCTTCCGACAAAAGCTCTTCAATCTGATTCATTCTCTCGCAAAATATCTTCGTTTTAATAATGAAGAATAATGGAAGCGGGAATGTGAGACTCCGTAAAGGATGTAGTTAGCAGACCAATCGCAGCCTTGTGTGCTACAGGAGGCTTGCGTCGCTCTCAAGTCTAGAAAAATGGGTCGGCGCACGCAAGGAGATGTGAAAAGGCACGTAAGGGACACGCAAGGGGCTCTTGCGTGTGCGTGCCCTTGTGTCTCTCTGAAAACGCAGAAGCATAAACTAGACTTAAGGAAGGAGTGTGAGTGAGACCGGGGTTATGTTATGGTCACAGCAAACTCTGTTTATGAATATAATTTACCATTTTTGTGCTGTAAAAAGTACAGAACAAGTTGTAAGTACTTATAGTATCTTATCATCTTCAGAAAGGGCCTTAGATTTTGTCTCGTAGCTCAAGTAGATGTTGAGTGTCCCTGAAAAAACACTGGCAACCACATTATGGGATATGAAACTAAAGCTAGGGTTGGCAATCCGGAGGAACTATTAAAAGTATGTAACATTTACAAAACAAACAAAGAAAACAGGGCCGGTGTGGTGCTGTTTGGTGGTTAAGCGCTGTCACCTCACAGCAAGAAGGTCTCGATACTAACCATGAGTGGGCGGGAGAGACTTCAACCTACATGGCCTTTGGCTTTGGGGCCCCACATTAAAGTCATAAAAACGGTTGCAGCTGCCTTCAAATTGAGTTGGAACTCAAGATTGATCCAGAACGAAGAATTATAAATGAGAATCCAGCATGTTGGTACTAGAATATAACGACTGGCCCTCAGCCAGCCTCACTGGCTTTGAAAAATCAGCAGTGACATGTCATAATGTGGTGGTGTCTATCTAAGGCCTGGGGGGGGTCATCAGCTATACCAGCCAGACTGAGTCTGCACAAGAGATTTAAGGATATTGGGATGAAGTTGGTGCGTGTGCGGCAGCGACTGGCGGACGTACAGCAGCATTTGCCGCCTGAGAGCCGAGAACACGAGAGCCGAGCTCGGCGAGGGCCCCCCGGTCATTTTGATCCAGACGGCGTCGTGTGATTCAGGGGACTTGTTTGATTGTCAACAGTAATATTGGTTGTATTTGAGTAGAAGAATTCATAATTAATTAATTGGATTGTTGATATCTCTACATTATTATTGGTATGCTTCTGTAACTTCCTCTAAAAAAATAGAAAAAAACATTAACCAGTATTACAGTGTTAATTTCGTCAACAAAAACTATGGCGAAAAATGTTCGTTAACGACCTTTTTTCCATGACTAAGACGAGACTAAGACGTGACGAAAACGATCTTAAAAAATAAAAGCTATGACTAAATCCATTCTAATTTTGGTTTACGAGACGAGACGAAAATGTTGTTTCTGCTCTGTTCTCTGGCGACGGCAGGCAGCGTTTCACGCATTTCAACTATAGTTCACACGCCACATCGTGAGAAGACGCTGTTAAACCGTCTTGGCCACCGTATGTTCGTTACTAAGCAACATAGAGGCGCCAACACACGTGTGAAATAATGTATTGCACCGATTGTAGGACGTTAAGGGGTCTCTTTAGTTGGGACAGTGGAAACAATAAAGGACTGTGAAGTTTCAAAAGCATTGCAAGTAAACAGACAAAGACAACAAAGTGTTGCGTTTAGATCCCTGGTCCTCATGAAGTTGTTACACATTTGCCAATTTGTTAAATTTCCTTGCAAATAAATGCTTTGATATTTGTTAAAATCCAGATCCTTTCATGTAATGATTTTTCACATGTCATTTATATCAGCTCACACGAACACTTCAACCATTTGTTCTTGGCCCGGCTCCTCCGTCACATTTTACAACCCGTTGTGGCCCGTGAGTCAAAAAGTTTCCCGACCCCGGCTATAGACCTGTCCTAGGAGGGACAGCTATAGACCTGTCCTAGGAGGGACAGCTATAGACCTGTCCTAGGAGGGACATCTATAGACCTGTCCTATAGGAGGGACATGTGATGGACAACCAAGTACTGCAAGCTAGACTATTATGCAGCTGTAGACACAACACTGGGGGTCCCTGGGCCAGAAGGGAAGAAAAGGAGTTTAATATGGCTGTTAAATGTGACTAAGACTAAAACTAAGAAGGATTAAAATTACTAAATGTGACAAACTAATATGCATAAGACTAAATCAAAAATAGCTGCCAAAATTAACACTGCAGTATTATGACCGACTACTAAAATGATAATTAAACTGCTACTACCACCACTGCTACCACAAAAATTAATTATTAAAAACATTACTACTACTCTTAATTAAAAAAAAAAGAAATTAAGAGTATTCAATTATTAATTAATAATTGATAAGTCATTATAATAATAATTATTATTATTATAGTGAGTTATGATACTTTTGGAAAGAACCACATCAGCTGATTCCAGTTGTTGAGCCAAGGAAGAAAGTAAAGCTTATTTCCTCAATTGTTTAAAGTAAAGGAGCTGCATAGGTTACATCTTCCAGTAGTGTTCTGTCCCTGTCAATAACCAGAGGTAGAAATCCCAAATGTCAAACTTCAAAGTGTGATACTGGGGCTATCCCAGCTTCTTTTTCCTATAATAATAACATCACATGTTGGTAGCTTGTAGTCTTACAATTTTTACAATAACATAATTTTTCTGGTGTGTTGTGTTTTGAAGAACTCCACTCACCATCACCTGGAGTCTTTGACTTGATTTGAGAAGCTTTATTCTTGGTTTTGGAGACTGTGCGTGACTCTTGCGTTGGATGAAAACAACTTGTGTAAGAGGAGAGTGTCTTCCCAGTAGTGGGCCTCTGAAGTGCTCCATATTCAAAATGCAGTCAAAAACTGATGGAATCCCATATGCTCCAGAGAGGATCCAACACGCCGCTGTGTAAATACATCCTCCTCATTTCACGGGCTGGTTCCATGCATTTTCATAATGTGCGGTTTGTTATGATAGTCCTCCACAGAGGAGAGGGAATTTATCACGCCCCAACTCCCGCTGCTCTCCAACACACGCAGGTCTGCAGAAGCTCGCAGGCATACGATGCTCGCATTAATAACGCTTTACAGGAGATGTTTTTTTGAGGCCCTTCCCATTCTTCACAATACGCCGCGGCGACTTTAATTGAGAACCCCAGCCACCCCCCCGTCAATGGATGGCGACAAATATTAATTGTAGCACACTGCTGGGACGGTAGCTAGATTCACGCATAAAACAAAAATCCATCTCTTTAAGAAAGGCCGTAGTGTCCGGCAATCAGTGTCCTGCGATGAGCTTCTGTCAGAAGAGCAAAGGAAGGTTAACACATGCAATCCTCTTGGAAATTGTGGTATGATCTACATGGCGTTGTATGTGTAACTTTAACTTGTTTTCAAATGCAAAGATCAGGGCCCTGTTCCTCGTAGGTGGTTCAACTAACTTGATCAAATGTCCGATTATCCAGCTCAAATTAATGAAATGATTGACATCAGGCTATCTGGGTTCCTCAAAGGCGGATCGGCGCTCAAACCGTCTCGTTAGTTTGAAGCAGATGTCAATCATCAGGATAAGCGTCTTACGTCAGAAGGCGGAAGAGTCGATCACCGAAACCAGGATTTTTTAACAGTATGATCATTAACACATATGAGGAGATAATATGTTACGTTTCTGTCGGATGAATTTAACGTATTATACATATTTTAAGTTGTTCATTCTGTACGTCCATCGCAGTCTCTCCGTCCCAGGGAGGATCGTCCTGCGTCTCTCTAAAGGTTTCTTCCCTTTATTCTTCCCATCAAATACTTTCGTTGTTTGGGGAGTTTTTCTTATTCCCATGTGAGGGTTTCTGGACAGAGGATGTCACATCTGTACAGACTGTAAAGACACATGAGGCTAATTTGCGATATTGTGCAATACGAAATTAAATTAAATGAATCATATAATCATGGCAAAAACTGACAGCGCCCCCCTGCGAGGCTACAAGACTTGTCGCTCCAATCAATTAGATTATATCTCTTTAAATGGATGATCATCGCCCAATGAGAATAATGAGCTCAACTCCTTCAGAGTATGTAGATGAAAACAAGCCCAAAGAATCAAATTGATACGAATGAATAGGATATATGTACTGTATCAGCTTATGTATCATATGTATGTGTAGATGACTTTTATTATATGTGTGTGAATGTGTATGTGAGAATCCTTATATATCCATTGTTCATAATCAGACATTTGATCAATTGAAGCAGTGAAATGTGGAACATTCAGAAGTTTATTAAGCAACAAATAAACCAACAGAACTTTACCAAGAGCACGACATGCATCGCAACACTGTACAGACATGGACAGTATGAGAGACAGTGTGTCTGATCTACGTCATCTCATCCTGAAAAGTATCCGGCTAACTCAGATAAGCACGTACGAGGAACGGGGCCCTGGTAGCAGATCAAGTGCCATGTCACATAAGTATTCATTTGATGGATGATCCGCAGTAATCACACAAGTCGATTCAGCGTAATTTAAAGGTTAGACAAAGGCACAAGATCTCCCTGCCAACAGGGACTTTACTGATTTGTTAGTCAAGCTCTCTGACAGCAAAAAACAGCTGGTGCCAAAATAGCTGTGGGCAATAGTCACGATGGCATTTGCATATCATATTTTTTCTGCAGACTAGTTAATTTGTGCAACTCTGTAACCACAGCATCAGTTAGAATGCGGTGGCTTCAGAAGATTCAGAAGCGTGTTTGCTTGGAGAGCAGACACAGATCATTTTGGAGATATTACAAGGGAAGAGATTGCACTGCCCTCAGGTGACTCAAACACAGGTGTCCACAGCAGATAGCATTTTAAATAGAGCGCAGCTCACCTTTTAAAAGTGTGGAGGTTTGACCTTCCATTTCCTCCTTAAGCCACTCCAGCCTCCAACTCTATCAGATTTAAAAACAGCCGATCAACTGTATAAAGAAAAAGCAAGGCAGAATTGATGAATAGATCATCTTTGTTTTTATGGAGAGATTTGTTCAGTCCAAGCTGATAGCTAAAAAAGCCGGGAATAAAAGTTGAACATATTGAGAGAGACACGTATGCGTCTTCATTTCACCCTGCTGATACGCGGCCTGTGGAGGAGTTAGCTTATCAGTGCTACCTTGCTGTTCGCACGTATTTTAATTAGGTAATACGCTAACAGGATGACAGTTTTGTAATGAAACCATTTTCTTCCCTCTCGGAATAATACATAAACTCAAGCTTTGCCCAAACACAACCTACTGAACTTCTGCATGTTGACTTTGCCAACGTGTTAGCACGCTGGCGTTAGCATTTTGCTGAAAGCCCCTAATTGGCTTTTCGGTAAGTACAGTCCCTCGAACTCATGTAGTTTGATCTAGTCATGGTAAAATATTGTCTAATATTCATGTACGTTTCTAAAGCGTATTTTAACTTGTGTTTAACACTCTTTAACAGGGTAAAACACCACGACACAACAGATTGTGACACATAAACAATTTGTTACACTAATAATTGAACATTTCTAAAATGATTATTGATTATTTATAAAATGACGTGTTTGTTATCCCCCCCTCCCTGGTATTTCTGCCCATACCTCCTAGCCTTACTAGAAATAGTTGAAATATAGATTTTTTTTCTCATTAACAGATAAACTATAACACATTTCAGGATTAACCTGTAACCCTCGTATTGTTCTGTGTCCTCAAAGGAATGCAACATCAAGGAAGTATGCGCTGCAAGTTCAACTTCGTTGCAGGTGGACAAGATCGTCCCAGCTGTGGTGCACTTAGAGCTTTTCCTACAGTAAACTTGAACAACAACAGTTATCACCTCAGATCTAAAATCAAGTTTTGGTTTCGCCTTCTTGTCTTGCCAGAGTGCCATCATCCAGCGAAGTGGCTCTGGGTTTGTATTGTCTGAGGACGGCTGGATCCTCGCCAGTGCTCACGTACTCAACAACAAGCGGCGGGTAAATGTGGTGCTAAAAAAGCGGTTTGCGGTACGACGCTTCCCTTAAGGATGTGGACCAGAAGATGAACATTGCTCTCATCAAAATCGAACCAGATGTGAGTGCCCATTGCGTCGCTGCAGCTCCCATTGTGCAGACAGGCCTCTCAGCTTGTCATCAAAGTGTATTACTGTACTTCTAATGGATCGTATCTATAGCCGTAGTTGTAGATCGGCTGATTTGATGAAATTGCACTTTCTTGTTCTTTTGAGTTTGTATCCTCATGGTTGAAATGCACTTATTGTAAGTCGCTTTGGATAAAAGCGTCAGCTAAACGGCATGTAATGTATTAACCACACACACAATAAGTTATCCCATGGAGGAAGTCAACGGCCTCTGCCCGGCAGAATTAAGCTCTACTTCTTTACTCGGCCAATTTGTTATCTGGCTTCATTTGGGGCGGCGTTAGGTCATGTCTCGTAAATTCAAAGCCTTCATTTTTCTTTTTGTGTGCTGGCGAGTGCTGTTCTGAATAAAACATGCCACTACTCAGACATGCTGTTACACAACCAGCTGCTTTGTATGGTAAAGCGGCACTCTGCACTCCTTCAGTCAGACTCCACTCCGCATGAAGCACATCGTTATCATTTGTTGGTGCTGATCTGAATACAAGAGTGCCTCAAGAACCCCTGAGAGAAGCCACGGGAGGAGGCGCTGTCTTTACTTGATAGGTGAAGGAGTTTGTCAGAAAGCCAATCAGGGAGCGGTGACAGCTGCACAGTGACATAACTCTGTGGGTTACATTCTTTGTCGAGGGAGGTCTCAGCGCTGCCTGCAAGGCTAATTTGGGACGATATTACACTTTATTCTGCTGGAGTTTGAGCTATAAATTTGCCTGCGCATTGCGAGCCACCAGGGTCCAAAAAACCTCGAGGAGGCAGGCAGGGACACGCTAAGGCTTGGTTGAGTTTTTTGTGTACTCGGGCTAATAAACCAGAAGCATTCCCAATGTAGAGAGTAAAATACAGTGACTTTTATTACAAGGTGCATGGATTCAGTTTGAGAATAAGCAGTCGAGGCTATGAAGGGTTATTAGTGCCTTGAATTAATGATGTCAACAAAGTTGTTAATAAGCAGAGATTGCTTTGTTTCAATGCCAGAAGCAAAGGGCTTTTTCACATCAATTAACTGTAGACACTTGAGTGATACAAGAGTGGAAATTAAAAAACACACACAGATAGGTCCATTCGAGCACTTCTGAGAAAAGCGTTCCAAATGGTTTTTGTTCTTTTTTTCAAGTTACATCAATGACGTTCGTGACAGGTTTTGTCCATTATTTATGTTACGATATGCTACGGTATCGGCTTGGCGGGGAGTGACTGGTCAGTCTCTGAGTGTGGCCGCGGTTCCAATCTGACGGATCCAAGTGACAATGAAAAAAGTTAAGCTGCTCTTAAGCCTAACTAAACCTTACTTGGCATTTTTATTTAATCGATACTAACATATCCGAGTATCTGCGGGAGCTAGTTAGCCCGCTGACCTTCATTGATCCTACCAAGGGGAGTTAATAATTGAAACAAGGACAAGCCTGCGTTCCTGTTCCATTCACTCAACTGATTGTTTTCCTTCTGGGTGTGACTTGCTGCAGAGTGCCCTGCCTGCGCTCCGTCTCGGCCTGTCCTCGGACATGCGCGTCCCGGTGAGTTTGTGGTGGCGGTGGGAAGCCCTTTCTCCCTGCAGAACTCCATCACCACGGGCATCCTCAGCGACGGACCGGAGCTGGGCTTAGAGGACTCGGACATGGACTACATCCAAACCGACGCCGTCATCCATGTCAGTAAGCATTTCCTGTCTTGGTTTGATCCGTCTTGACCATTTTTGTTCTACTTTCGCAATGAGTAAGTAAAAGGTCGCTTGCTCTGTTTGATTCACAGTGCGGCAACTCTGGTGGGCCGCTTGTCAACTTGGTAAGAGGATTCATAGTGCTGCATAGCATGAAAAGTGATGATACCATTATTCATCATTTCTATATTTGTTATGCCCTCTGCCATGCAGGCACCCTTTCCTGTTTTATTCATGACAGTGAAGACTAAGGTCACGGTTTTGTTTTATTTAATACCCGAAGTCTCCGGACTGCTCCCACTGGTTTATGATTAAGCCTCACTGTATTTTATGACAGGACCTGAGTATGGCTCCATTTGCATTTTTACCGTAGAATGCAATCATACAGATGGTACAGGCATTTATCCGGGCCGCTGCCTCCAGCTCCCTTTGCCTGAAAATATAGTTCTTTCCAAAGGAGAACAGTTGCCGTACCGACGGTGTGTTTTATGGATTGTCCTTCATTGTGAATACGCAGATACGTTACTACACAAACCACGGCTTATGGGTTTTGTTGAAGGTAAAAAGAACATTTAATAGAAGACGAGCTTTGGAATATGCAGCAGCAAAATAAAGAGCTACTACTTTTGCCGAAGAAATGAAGAAAAGAAAAAACACCAGGATCCAATTTCCATCTAAATCTGTAAATTTTAGGAAATCAATAAAAGAAATGAAGCATTGTTTCCATCCACTGCAGTAAAGCTATTATCAGGAGCTCATCAGTAAAGTGGACGCCAACAATTCCCTATTTGGAAAACCATTTCAGACACGACTCGCCAAATGGGGCATGAGTGAGGCGACAAGTAATTCTGCGTGCAATGAGCACGAGCAATAACTTGCCGACCGCAATAACAACCCATCAGCTGAACTATTGTACACTCTCAACAGGTAAATGCGAGAGAGGTGAAACCCTGGTTGAGATGGCGTAATGTAAAGAGGGCCGGTACATTTCTTTTTTTTCTGCCTGTATTTCATGAGTTGTGTTTCATCCTGACACCATTTTTGTCTCTTCCGAAGAGCAGAAGCTTCTTGGACATCATTTATATGTATTTTTTTTACATATTTAGATGTAATTGGCATAAATACCATGGAATCACGTTTGCCGTCCCTGCCGACAGAATAGGACAGTTCCTGGCTGACTCCTTCAACAGACAAGTTAACCGTGAGCAGGATCCAATGCTGCTGTTGTGGGTCTAGTCCGCAGGAATCACTCATGAACCACATGTCATTTATTTTAATCAATCGTTCATTTGCGTTTAGGAAGACCTGGATTGACAGAGAAACACATCGGCGTCCTGATGCTGCAGCTCTCCCCATCGTAAGTGAACCTCACGGGTCAATGATAACATGTTTGTTTTAGGTGCTACTCAAGGCACTTTGTAGGGATGCGGACTGTAGATAAAGTCTTTCGACGCGGCACGGGTCATTTCGTAACGCAATATCAGTTAATACTTTGACACGGTGTAGCACATTTTTTAGAATTCTATTGAGAAACAGCTCATGAATGTCTGCTTCTGACATCAACTAAATGAATGAATAAATAAATAAACCCTGGTATTAATACATTAGTCAATAAGTATAGATAAATGACTCAGTGTAGTTCAATACACTTTTATTGTATTTTAAAGGGTCAGGGTTATTTTCCATCTGCTGATTTACCTTCGTCGTCATAGCAACCAGATAGTGCCGCAGAATGATGTTCAGTCACAACATCAACTGTTTCTATTTTTCTCTCCACTTCTCCAGTTTGATCCAAAATCTCAAGGAGCGTGAGGGCGGCTTTCCAGATGTGATCTCAGGTGTTTACATCTACGAGGTGATACCTGGAGGACCTGCATCCAGGTAAGAGGCGAGCTACAATCATCTCTTCCTCTGTTGCTCCATTCATATCCCAATGTCACAAAACGAGAAAAAGAAAGATGAGACAAATCGATATTCACTGATCACTTGTGTTGAATCATCATTTATTTTTCCTGTGGTTTCAGTCCTAAACACATGATCACCTATGCCTTTAAAAAACTATCAAGAATCACTAATTCTGAAGTCAAGTGAATTACATAAAATATCGGTAACCTACTGAGTTGTTTCTTGCTGCTTTTATTAGACAGCATTAACCTGGAGTCCATTTGATGGACAGAGCCGGTTTAGGCGCTGGGCTTTTACAAAATGCAACAGCAGACTGGCGTTATTCTTAATAGTCCAACGACTCCTCCTGGAGCTTTGAGCAGCACACAGCGGCAGGCTAACATGCAACAGGAGGACGAGAGAGGATTTCCAACACAGCGTGGCAGTGCTGGAGCGCTGCACTGCTCCTTGCATCCCATGCCATTTTATGAGATACGAAATGTACAATCTTTGGCTGTCAATCAGTCTGCAAATGATCATCGGCGAGAGAAGATGCCTCACATGTGAATGTCAAGCAGGGTTGTTCATGATGGGGCCACCTTAGCTTGCTCTCTCGGGGCAGAGGGAAACCGACACAGGAACACACTTGTCTAAAGGTCAATGGTGTCTTCCTGTGGGTGGCAGATCCACCCAGCTGGGTTAGGCCTTTTTGTCAGGCTTCAGAACCTTTTGAGCCTCAAACCCATCGAAAAGCATGTTTTTGTCAATTGGCAAATAAGTGATATTGTTTATCCGAGACCAGGGCTATAAAATCATCATCTTTATGAAACATATCTGTAAAAGAAAAAGAAAAAACACTTTTTCGCCTTGTCCAGTCTCATTTAGAATATCGCTGAAATAAATCCATATTTGAAGTAACAATATATTTTTTTTAAAAAGCATTCATCATTAAAATGAGTTTTTTCCAAAATTGGTAAAACTGCTCGATATGTAGATTCCAGTGTTGTCCACTATTTGTGAAATGAATTAATGAAGAAATTCTAATTGCATTTATTCTCCTTTCCTATCTTGTATGACATTGTAGCTGTGTTATATTCCACAGAAGACTTGGTTGGTCTGTTTGCATAAAGTTGCAGGCAATGGAAAATGCAACAAGACTAAGACCAAAACCGGAAGAGCGCACTGACGGCTTTCTTTTCTCCGCGGCGCCGGCTTTATTGACCACGACGTCATCATCGGCATCAACGGTCGGCCCGTCCGCACCATACAGGAAGTGAGGGAAGCCGTCCGGAGCGACGCACCCCTTTCAGTGACCGTGAGACGAAAGAGTGAGGATGTCACTCTGACTGTCAGACTCCTGAGGACGCTGAATGATGCGCCTCACTGCACATGGGAACCACTGAAGCTACTGACTTGCTGGTGCTTCGGTTGGTTGGTTCCCTGCATCACTCGCTTTACAATCAATTACAGCAATGATGTAATTGATTGACTCTAAAACTGATTAATCACATGATTTTTCACATGATTTTTCTGTCATTAACAGCAATTGATAAATAATTAAAAACTAGTGTATTGCACCTTTTTATTTTGAAGTAATGTTATCACAATAGTATAACAGGCACTCTGAGTAACAGCAAGTTGAGATACAGTGAACAGGTAACAGAAGAAAGTCTGTAAAGCCAATGGATAGAAGAAACAACACTTTGTGATGCAGGTTGAGCAGTTACACAATTAACTTTATTTATCCAATCCTTTGAATTCTTCTTGCGTTGGTTTGTCGACAGTTCTCCCGCATCCAAAGCAGTCTGCCAGCTTCCCTCCCGTTTTCTTTGGGGAGCTGGTTGCCTGGCGTCAATGCTGTGTAACGCTTTAAGAGGTACTTCAGGCTCAATAGTTTTCATCCCGGTTTGCAGTGGTTACAAATAGCTTTGCTTTTGTTGACTACGCTGTCTGGTAGAAAATTGCTGTTAATGTATGATGAAATGTTGCAGATGTATATTGACCCGCTGTTAAAAAGGTATCATATCATATCAAATATCGGCTGTCAATATAATATAGAACCTACTTCAACGGGATTCATGTGGAGGAAACTTTATAGAGGACAGAAGTACTGAGATAGAAATGCATGTAAAATAGAGTCCACCCATCCTCAAACTGTGATAACAAATACATATTTGGAATACTACGGAATATTCCCAGATCAGAGCAGAAAGAGTTGTCTTGGTGCAAAGCATTATGTAGAGGTCACACATCAGTTTGGGTGATTTGTGTGAAACGTGCAGATCCAAAGTGTTTTGGGGGGAGGGGGGATACATGTGTTTGCATCCCTGAATACAGATACAGTAAACTTAGGTGGTACAACCTGAACCCTGACTGACTCGAGTCTGTTTTTTAATATTTCAGACCAGTAGAGATCACTGTCTAATCAACATGACACCAGAAAATGAAATCTCTCACTCACACACACACACACACACACACACACACACACACACACACACACACACACACACACACACACACACACACACACACACACACACACACACACGAATATAAAAGCTTCTGTTTGGCAGATCAATGCTATTTACAATATCTTACAACGGTCAAAGAGACTCCTGAACATCAAAGTGTTTTATCCTGGTTTTGGGCACTTCTAAGGACAGAAATTACATGTGGAAGAAAGGAAAGATCTGATGAAGACATCTGCCACATGGTGCCGGAGGTATCTCCTCCTGCAGAAGCAGCTCAGCCGGCTGACAACAGGAGCCGGTTAAGAGTCGACACTTCTTGAAAATCGCTTCTTCTTAAACTTGTGATCATCAGAGTCAAGTTTTTTTTTTATTATAGATTCAACGCCTCATGAGAGCAGCTCAGACTATGAAAGAGCATAAACCTCCGTTCTGGTAAAGCCGACAAATGCAACCAAGTGAAAGATGGAGGATTGAATGAATAAATACATAATGCGAGGCCCGAGTCTGAGCTAAATGGCCTGTGGTTGAAGGAGAAACTCAAGAGTTTAACCAGAATGGAGGATCCCTTTTGTGAGTTACTATGTAGGCCTACAGCGACTCTCTGATAAAGCGGTTACCACGACGACCACAACAACAAGTAGGAGTTGGCATTCTTTGGCTTTCTTTCCAAGTGCCCCCTTACGGTGCGTCTCAGTAGTAGGTGCACCAGTTGCTGTAGTCGCTGGGCATCAGGCCCCCGGTGATGAGCAGGATCAGGTCCACGAACCACCAGATTCCAAGGCCTCCCAGGGTGAGCAGCTTTCCAACGGCGGTGCCGGTGTGGCCCAGGCAGAAGCGGTCCACCCCGAAACAGCCCAAGAAGAAGGAGTAGAGCAGCGTGGTGATGAAGTAGTGGCCGGTGTACCTATGCAAGGGGAGCATTTTAACGTCATTTGATACCAGTGACCTTGAATACTGCAACAATATTCAACTAACCAACTTCAAGGCAGATTTTAAAGAAAGCAGTTTGCATCTAGCCTGGTTGTCCATCCGCTGCACCGCTCTGATCTACTGGTTCGACAGATAAAATCACTAGCCGGTGGCTCAATGCGTCGGCAGACATTGCCCTCTAGTGGTGACTTCCCAGCGCAACGTCTAAATGAACTGCATCAATATTTGAAGAACTGGAGGCATGTGCAGTGCATTTTACACGGGTAGAAACAGCTCCCCCATAACATGGAATGTCTTTCTGACCTAAATCTGTAAAAAAAACTCTCCCTATACTTTGTGTGTGCGTGCTTTTTAGTCAGTCTTTCTTCTGTATACTGAGTTCAATCTCTGATACCATTAAAAACAGACACCTAATCCCAGCCGGCATTTATTTTGACATCCCATCTCAGTAAAAGTACGTGTTGACATGTACAATGAATACTTCTTCTATTTGCTTATTTTTAAAAGCATCCAGATGTGAAAAAATATGTTTAACGGGACATATTGGCACAATGCTTATGCGTTTGTGCAAGTTGTCCTTATCATATTATCGTGCGATGTAGACATTTACCTTTACAGTGCCATTAACTGTTAGTCGGTAGAATATGACAGAAAGCAAACCATTTAGATTTGACCTGACTATTAAATTGAAAACGTGAGCGTGTACTTCAAGTATTCTAAACGTGAAGAGAATAACGTTTTAGTGCTTCGGGTGTCAGTAGTGGCGACATGTCCTTACTTGATGCAGGGCACGTTTCCTCTGAGGAACTCTCTGGCTCCGGCACACTCGATATCGTCGAGTGCCGTGCAGATCACCCGTGTGTGGTTCACCTCGTCATGTGTCTGGCCTCCCCACTGTAAGAAAACAAACACAGCAAAAAAATAAAATCAAGTGCTGGGTGATAAAGGCATGTGTTCTTATAAATGAGAAAACGCTTACCCCGAGACAGCCGTGGCCCAGCTCCAGGAAGGCGCTGTGGTTCAGCGCGTGATCCACTGGGTCTTGGCAGTAGATGAACTCCTCTGGTCTTCATGGTGATAAATAAAGAGAGGGATAAAGAGGGATGGAATGTGAGCTGGTAAGTCATTGCCATAAAAAAAAGCGTAATATTTCATTTTAATTACAGATATCCCAAATGAAAAACCCAGACAGATACTCATTTTGAACATCCAAAATAAATATGGTTTTAAATTGATTTTGGTGATGCTACCATTCATTATAGTGAAGTTATTGAATATTTCTGTATGGTGTTTTTCCGCATTGCACTTTGCAGACGGGATCCATGTGATTTCTACAGCTCCCGCATTGGCCCGTATTGGAAAAACGATGGTTAATTGGGGCTGTAGCTGGTTGTCGACATCACTACGATTACAGCGGGGGGTCGTTTGTGTTTTAACAACGTTTCGCTGACGAGCTGTTGAACCGTGAAGTCCGAATATGTGAATGTCTTTGCCGAACTCGTTGGTGTAGCAGCCCCGCTGATGGGCAGGTGAGCGCCATCAGACTGATTGACGGACAGCTTTTGTCTCCGCGCTGCAGCTAGCTGCGCGTAGTTAGGGTTAGCTTCGACGTTAGCTAGCATACGAGCAACGGCGTGCCGCCTCGAGACACTTACAGGTAGCTGCAGAGGACAACCGGGGACGGGGGCCGGTACTCGTAGGGCTCTGTGTAATTCGTATTCTCCACCGGGATTTCATATTTCACGATCTCCGGCGGCTGCTCGCTGAACGGGACCGCGGTAGCTGCCTGGCTGGGAGAAGCAGCGGGGGTCCCCGTTGTCGAGGAGTTTTGGGAGTGAATTCCTTCCAGACATTGTAAAAGAATCACCGCCAGAAGCAGCACCAGCTGTCCGCACAACAGAATGTAGCTCACCGAAATCATTGCTTCCCTCAACGCGCTACATTCAGCCTAACGACATACCCGTTTACCGTTTAGCTAACTACCCTGCGACGGTTTGTTTGTGTCGCGTGGGTATGACGTGCGGGCCTACGTCATCAAAAAACGGCCCTTTTCTCCCCCCCCCCGTATATATTTGAGAATTATTATTATTATTATTTTGAGAATTATTAATAATAAATACAATTATATATAGAAGATTACAACCATTCCTTTTAGTTATTTCACCACCTTTACATTTAAATCGTCTTTGTACTGATGCTTATTATTCTAAAATAAATTGAAATGTAGAGATGAAGCTCAAGAATGTGCTAGATAAAACACTTTTTAAAGAGTTTTTTCAAAAAATGTCATGTCTCTTTGCAACCAATGTTTTTTTTTTGTCTTTTTTAATATTGTTCAAGTAAATTGAGCATAATTTTTCTATCTAGAGTTTAAATATATTATTTTGCGAAAGGCTATCACAACCTCAGTATGGTTTCAATGAGCACTATTAGAGGATTTGTATCGGGAGATTAACCTTAAAAAAAGCTTCTCTTTCCCAATATGAGTTTATGGGAGGAGGTATTTTTGGGCCCAATGACATCAGGTGACAGAGGGCAGGAGCTTGAAGAATTTATGAACGGCAGCCGGTGAATGTCTAACTTTTTTACAACAACCAAACGTAAGGTGAAGGATATGAATATTCACCTATGGATATTGATCAGCTTTCCAAAACATACTTCTATTAAGCAATCAGCATCTGGCAACAAAGTCTGGTAAGAGTTAGTGGGTTGTTGGTCACTTCCAATCGGATCAAGTACTCATTTGTAGGCTGCAAATAGATTGAAGGTTTTAATAAATAAAATGTGTTTTTTACTTGTATTCAAGGTTTTGAAACACAGTAAGTATCAACAATTCTGGTCTTTGGATAAATATATCATTTATTGGGTGGCGGTTTTTCAGGAAAAAAAACAAAATCTCATGGACAAATAGATCCCATGAATGCAAAGAAAGCGGACAGGTTTCACAACATTCATTTCAAATGTGTGCGTCTAGTACACAAATTGGCTGGAATAGCCGTTAATTTAGCACCTTTCATGAATCACTACGCACCATCTCAGTTTTGTAATATCACATCAGATGTTAAAAGGGTGTATAAACTAAGTTACATTTACAGACATGAAATAAAAAGCTCACTGCCACACAGTCTTTCAGTCTACCGTCATGAAAGCGATAAGATGCAGATGTAGACTTCGCCGCTGGACTAATTTCAATTGGACTTCGGTGTCACTCCCCAGAAAGGCCTTCCAGTGCATCTGTTTGCATTCTGTGGGACCGCATGCAGGCGGGGGGCGGGGGTCGTTACATCAGAAAGGAACTGCTCTCAAATCAGCATTCAAAACCATGTCAATCAACTTCAGCTTCTTCCGCCGAGTCATTCTGGTCGGTTTCCCGTAGCGGTAAGAACTCTGGGCCGAGATATTTCAATCCACCTGGAGCAGGAAGAGAGGAAGGCATCGTGGGAGAGGGGAAGCAGTTCGGGCTGTGGACGCCCGGATAGGCTCTGTAATCCACTGTGGCCGACGGCGGCGGGACGAAATACTGGGCCGACGCTGCAGAGAAGCTGGAGTAGGGATAAAACAGAAAGCCTCCAAACGGGGAGAGGGTCACCATGTCCTGTTAACAAGGGAAGAAAATACAACAAGCACCACATTATCTAATAGTCTTTAATGAGCCACAAGCACTACAGGGGAGTGGAATTTTAATGAGCTATTAGAGGGAAATATTGTAATTTCCTGCACTTATTTGACCGCTGTGACTTTGGCCAATTCACATGATACAAATAAATAAATAATGCCTTTAGAAAATCCTAAAACTGAATTGAAATTGGCTTTACACAGACAGAGTGTAACATTAAACTTCCTGCTTGTCCACATTAAAGGAGCGTTTTCACACCAGGTTTGGCCTTTCTGTAACTTATTCCTCACGTTCCTTGATGAAGAACCCTTCCCAATGTTCCTCCAATCAGTAGTTGGGGACAGTACTCTGTGTACTTCTGTGTAAACGCGTTCAAAGGTGTAACCAACGCTGATACTCGGCCAAGCTCCTACTCGTTGACGGCCTGGTGTCGGTCTCTCCTCAAACATTCTCAAAGCTCCTTAGAGGTTGGCATCTGTTATTATTACGTCATCAGTTAGAAGATGTTGGATGTGCTGCTGGTCATGTGTCTGAAGGTGTCACGATCTAGTAAGGGAAGCGGCGGGTTCCAGGTTGGACCACAAGATGGTGCCAGAGAGGGAACAGGGCCGACAGGTAGAGAAAAGCCTGGGCGGGGCCTATCGATCGGACAGGAGGATGGACGGCGGAAGTGGCCAAGCTGGGCGTGGCTACCGTTGCTATTAGAGCCAATCGCTGTAGCTTTGATCACCTCCAGAAACAAACACACAGAAAGGGTTTCCTCCAGAAAGCCTGACTAAACTAGTTGGCCAGTAGAAGGGGGGGAACCCTGTTCCGGAACGTAGCACAATTAATAGTGTAATTCATTTCTGCTCTTAGTTATTAAATCCTTTTAGATTTTAACTTAAGCCAGCAAATCTTTTGACTTGCTCCGTCTCATCGGAGGTGTAGGAGAAAGGGTTTCTAGGCGACATGATCTGAGAGAGGTTCTGACTTCACATCTGATACTTCCGCTGTACTTACATTTAAGTAACATTGTAAATGAGGGATTGCAAATTATATCGCACTTATATCCCTTCAAATTGGAATGGCTACTTTTGGTTTAAACATTTTCTCTGTGTAACTATGAAATGTAAAGTACAGAGGTCCGTATACCTGTAGCGGCGTGTGCGGGCGAAGGCCGACGGGGAACCCCGGAGTCCTACAAGGAGCCGGCAGCCTTGTCCGTCGACCCGGCGCGGCGGCGCAACGGTCCCAAGCGTTCGCCCGGGCGGAGCCGAGCAGACCGCCGGGGACGCACGGGTCCCGGGGACGTCCACCCAGTTCCGGTGGATAGACAAGAAGGCCGCTGCATACTTTGCCCGTTGGTTCCCTCCCAGCGGCTCGGCGCTCGCCTCCATCGGGCAGCGTGCTGACAGCATGCGCTTCTCTCCGAACCCGGGCCGAGACCTTCGGGTCAGTCGGCGTCTCGCTGACCGCTTGACCGGGACCGTCCTCGACTTTGTCGGCTCTGCCACTGTCACATTCGCGAGCATCTTGAGAAGACAAGAGAGTCAGCTCTGTTTCCTGTCGGTAGACTCACCACATGTTCGTCATTGTAACGTTTTTTCATTACCTGGAGATTTGGAATTGTCTGAATGTCGGGGAGGGGATTCTCTCGCAGGTTCACGTTTACTATCAGTCATCTGAATCTCTTTGGACTTTTCTGATGGATATTGTAGTTTCCTGATGAAACAAAAGACAGGAAAATAATGGACCAAAAATCATTTTGGGGAAGAAAAAACATCTAAATTGATGCATGAAATAGCTGATGACAGATCATTATGACAGCAAGGCATCGCTCAATTCAATTTGAATTATTTGCTTAATCTCCATCTCTTTCAAGATGGAGTTGATTGTGCCTCTTCTTTCGTGGTCAAAAACAATATAACTAAATCAATATTTTTTCACACTTTTGAAAATGAAAAACACTTTTTCCACCTGTTCGTAAGTCATAAACACAACAGAGAAAACAATTTAGATCAGACTGAGAAAATAGATGACCAGATTAGTTTTTCTTTACTTACTGGCGTCTCAGGGCCTCCGTACATTAACATTCTATGTGCTCCATTCTACCAAAGACAATTTGGCAGGAAAAACATTTTCTTTAGCTGCTCTGACACGTTTATGGTTCATTAAGTTTCTATTTGCCTTACTTTTGCTCTTCCTGTGGCTTTACCTTATAAGATTCATGCATTGCATTAAGCCGACGATAAAAATGTTCTTTATGTTAGTAGCTCAGGGTAAAAATGATCTAATTATTCCATTATTAAATATTATTTCAGGGATTTGTATATTTTCCGTATGAGTTGATCCTCATGTGTTTGGAAAAGGAAAAACAATATAAAATGAATTATTGATAATCAATTCATTGTTACAGGTTTTTTCGCAGGGTGTCCAATGGGAGGATTCTCTCTGCTAGTTTAATTACTGTTACACTAAAAGCGAGCTAGTTGTCAGTTTGTCTCTCTGCTTAATTCACACGAGCTTTTAAGGCCCACACAGGTCACTGGGCTTTTTCTCTCTTTTTAAGTGTTAAAAGCAGATCAGACTTTTGTATTGCTCTCAATACAATACGTTGATCCACTAGAATTCACTCTGAACGGTGCCGCCAGACATTTAACTACAGAGAAAGAAAGAAAGAATCCGTCAAGTTTTAGTGAACCTGCCCTAATGTATTTTACGATTGCTTTTTAAATTACTTTTTTATAAGGCCCATGATGCTTTAGGACCGGCCTATTATCCATCGCAGCCTCTTAGGTTCTGCTCATTCTTTTTCTTAAATTCAAACCGCATACGCTACAATCTGCAGCTTGTTTCTTTTCTTTAAGGTTTTAAGAGATGCGAGCTTTGTGAAACAACAACAGAAAACACATTCATTCATCAATGCCTTTAACAACCTGTCGCTCTTCCCATTGATCTTTTAAACATTTATTGCTCTTATTTTCTGTTTCTTTGCTTTAATCTGTACCTAATGTGTCTCGTTCTTATCCCTTTCTTTTGTTTAAATGTTTGGCTCAAGCTTGGGTTTGAACATTTCAGTCTGTTTTTATTAATTCCCTGTGTCTTACGTTTGTGAAGCACATTTTGGAAGGTTGATTATTATTATTATCATAATATATATTATCATTGTTGGAAGTAGTATAGTATTATCCTCATTATTATTACTATTATTATGACATATAACATCCATGTACATTCACACAGAAATGGGCCTCTATGCATATTGTGTACTTTTATTTTGAACTTTTACTGTAAATAGTTCAGCAGGTGTGCAGCACATCTGACAGTAATAATGATAAAACACCCTTTTACGGCTAACACAAAAATCAACGTCAAATTTTGCAATAAAATGAATGACAACTTGCCTCTTCTCTCTCCTCCCGTTGCCTGTGTCTCGGAATCCCTTCGCGAAAGGATTGTTGTCTATTTTCAGCTGCGTTATCTGAAAGTTGTTCCACGAAGGTAAATATTTCTACATTTTTTTAATTTGAATCACGCGTTTGAAGAGTAAAAAGAAAGGGCACCTTGTCGTTTTGGTAAGCCGTCACCGCGATGAACTCGGTCTCGCAGAAGACATAAGTCCTGAAGGTGCTGTAAGGCAGTTTCAGGAGGTCGTTTGTCTTCACGATGTGAAATCGTGGCTGATACTTGTGCATCGAGTTGAGGATTGTCTGCAATTGTATAAATGAAAAGAAAGTTGAGGCCGAATGTGTTAGGGAACTAACGCGCGTGGGGCCTTCAATTGAAGAACATATCAACATATATTGATATACACATATATATATATCATCAAATCAATTACTCCGTGCACCAAACCAAATCTAATCTCGGAATAAGAAATACAGATCTTGGTTGTTCATATTTCCTATTTAAATTCACGACATTTTCTAAATCCAAACATACAAATCCTTGTTTATCGGACATGTTGTTGGTGAGTTTCAGCTTGTGGAAGTTGACCACTTTGGACATCCACTGCTGGCCCGTGGCCGGGCTGTCCGGGTGGATGTACATGCGTTTGGGCATCTCCGGGTCCGCCTTCCCCGCCACCATCCAGTGGGAGTTGTGGAACTTATATCTGCAGTCGTCGGCCGCCACAATGTCCATCAGAACTACATACCTGGCCTCTCTGTCCATGCCGGCGCACTTGGCCCTGAGTGGCGGGAACATGCGTCTGTATGGGGAGGAGAGAGAACGGCGTGACGCGTTCAGAACAACAACTCAGTGAGGCTCTCCACCCCGTGCGTAATCACCAGACGTTTACTGTGGCCTACCTCCCGGACTTCGTAATCACCATTTCAGTGCCACATTTGTGGAACTGTGTCCAAAGGTCGCTGGCCTCCAAAAAAACTTTCGGATCCTCCTCCGGCAGCTCGCCAGGAGGACGGCGCGAAGTCAAAGACCGCTGCTCTGGTGCCGACATGGGAACCGTCGGGTCCGTGCTGGCATCCGAACCGGGATCCCATGAGCCTCGAGAGGACAAGGCGGAGGGTGAGAACAGCGAGGTTCCGGCAGAGAGAGTCCCGTGCAGCGCTGCATCTCCACCTCTCGTGAACGGCTCTGAGAAGCTGCGCATTATCTCCAAAAAAAAGAGAGGAAACTTTTACGCACGGGTCCCGTCGGGTTACACCTTGTCACCACTTTGACACCTCTGGTATTCTCGTACATGCATACATCACTAAAGGTCAATAGCGGTAGAAGCGTTAACGATGTTTTTGCTGAGAATGTTGTGTCCGGTTCGGTCAGATGCTTCCCACTCCGCGTCCACGTTGATTTGCTGCGTGACGCGTTCGGACTGGAGTTGGTCACCCAGCAGTGGGTGGAGTTCCCCGTAGTCGGACTTCATGAGAAACAAAATGCTGCTTCAACTTTCTTCGCTGGCTGATGGAGACGCTCGTGACAATTTGAGTACAGGACCAGCTCTACTAATCATTAACCCCGCACCAAACCTCAACAATTACCCACATACGCACGAAACTGTTCATCTCCAACTTTCTCAGTTCGCCGCGGCAAACTTCCCATAAGCGGCACCGCGATGAACACCGTAATGACATCATCCAGCCGACATCATGGTAGACACACTGACCCTCTTTATTCCCTCATTGCCCCGGAAAGCTGTGGTTTGATTACCTCCATGCATGCGGTCTCTCCGGTCTGCCAACATACGGGTCTGTGGAGGTGCAGCCGGATACAGGGACTCCGGGGACAGGTTTAGACCATTCTTTATCACCCAATGGACCGCGACGGCGGAAGTCTCAGCGCGTCAGGGCGCACGTTCAGGACGCACAGCGATGCGCGGGACGACAACGCGAGGAGGAGGTGCTCAATGGGACACATGCGAGCAGGACGGGGGGGGGACAAGTTGTTACAGAGGTTTTAATACAACACAACTATGACTATTGTGGAAGTTAAAGCAGTTTTTGCTTCGTTGTGGCCATTGTTGACTTCTTTCACCTCCGTCTAATGATGAAGGTTCTAGCACGTGGCTGACAGAGCTCATAGCGTGGTCATTACGGGAAATTACATATGCTACATTATTGCATTTGTTTTTTTAAATTTTAGACCAAATATTCAAGGGTAGAGTCTTTTGTTTGGATAATATCTTAAACTGTATTGCTCTCTGACTGGACTGCAGAAATATTACCATCTATTTAATTCCAATTCGATATATTTTCATAGTAACAATATCACAAATGACAGAGGAATGCACATATACGGCTTCCTCTGCCCCCGCATCCTCACACAAAAATAAAGGGTCTTTAAAAAGTAGAAACCATGGTGGAATGGATGTGGATGATCAAAATAATTACAACATCTATAAGATATCAATAATATACTGAGGTTTGTGTTATCAGTAGGTCTAATAGTAAATTCACAAAATTATGTTTAAGAGCAGCTGCTAAAGGGAATTGAATAATATCATATCTGATTAATTCATGAACTGATTTACTAGTGGGTTTAAAGCAGCCCTGGTATATTAATAAAGATAAATCTGATATCTAACGTTGATTTGTTTTTACTAATCAATGTTCGGCACATGGGACACATCTAAGAATTTGGTGTGTGTTGATAACAGTGAAACATCTCTAAAGATATTTGATGTACTTGAAGCAATGTTGCTCAGTCAGATGCGTTTAATTCTTTTTACATTAGGCTCTAAATTGACTTTCCACTTTCGTTATTTTCATGCTGAGCTGCACGAAAAAAAAAACAACCCAGACAATTACAGCCACTGAACACAGATCGCACCTCGTGACTCCACGACCTGGCACGATGACTGAGGTAGGGTGGCGCAGCCGCTAACAGATGCTACCAGGAAACCCATCCCTTTACTCCACTCACAAGGTACCTCCACTTGGTTGCACCTAACTGAAAAGAGATCAATACCGGTGGAATTGAGATGACTTCAATTGGCTGTCTTTGAAATGGATGACATGATTTTATGGAGGGGTTTTTTCAGACAGAAAATGTAGCTGCCACATCACAGGCGTAGTAAACCCAACAGTGACTCACTGGAATGCGATTAGTGTATTCTCATTGGCAAACACAGGAGCAGTAGCCACTGTGCTTAAGGTCTGGTGTCAATGACTCTCCACTTATTTTTAGCGTGTCCAAACTTCTAAGTCGTGGCCTTAGATGAAACAATGGTAAGGGGGCAGTATCCCACCGAGGCTTGTTTTTCAGCCGGGACGTTGCTGTGAAATCTGGAAAAGCCTCACCCTGGAACAGGGGGTACTGAAGATATGCAGTGGGTGGCGGAGCTGTTGATCACCTCATCTTTTTCTGGCAGAGAAGCTGGGGAAAACCCTGCCTGTCCGTCAGCCAACTTCAAAGAGCCGGCCGGTAATCCGAAACAGGAACGAGGAGGATGGCGAACAAGACGCCTGGCTGTTATTCGCGGGTTTGGCCCACGGGCTGCGTGTGAAACCTGTCCATGAGGATAAATCCCGCAGATCTCCGCTGGGCCAGTGCCCAGTAACACACTCTCCCCAGTGCACAACATTCCCATTGGGATGGCCCGTTTTTTTGGTATGTGGGGATACAGACCACAAGGCGACCATCGGCCGCTGCTCGGTTTCTTCACTTTAGAGAACGTTCATCCAATTTAGCGTCTCCCACTGGCAACGTTGTTGGAGTGACGATTTGGATTTAAATTGATGGACCAGGGCCAGAAATGCCCCCTTTTTATTGTGCGGATTCTTCCTTGTCAAAGCTACATTACCTACGGAGCTCCTCCAGCTCCTGTGTGGTCATCGGTTTGGGTGACCACACAGGGTTTAAACAGCACCTCCCAACATTTCAGGAACCAAGAATAGATTTGTGTGCTTTACAATGTGATGTTGCTTTAAGAAATACAATGTAAAATTTGGAGTAATGTAGAAATCCCCCTTAGCAGTTTACATGAAATGAAACTCAATACACTACTTAATTGTGATTACGTTTGGGAAAGCAACGGATGAATGAATATCAGGACAGGGACATGGATTTGCAGTATGTCTATTCAGGATGAATAATTCATGAGGAATTGTGAATGACTCATAATTGTGATTCCTTGTTTGTTTACTTGATTGTTGTTAATTAGAGTAGGCTGATGGCCAAAAACAAGAATTGTTGCTTAAAGGACCCATCGTATGCCCATTTTACCACAAGTTGATATGCTTCCTTGGGGTGTTAATGAAATGTCTGTAACATACTTGGTCTAAATACCTCAAGGATCATAAACAGCACCCTTTTTACCTTTCCTACCATTAAATGCTAATGAATCTTCATAATATGTCCCCTTTAAGATTAGGATTAGGATTTGAACGTCAACATTGTTAACGAAGCTTCCAACTGTTCAGAACAGGCCTATAAAGGTCTTATGTCCGTTTGCTATTTGTCGCTGTCCATTGACAGGAGTGCTGAATCTGGAAGCCGTGTCATGTTGGGGCTTGCAGGTGGGCACCGCCAGAGAGAAAGCGCATAATGCCAGCAGGCATCAAACTCAAAATGTTGCATTTTAGGGACAAAGCTTACGGCACGCACACAGTGATGAGGAGACGCTGAGAGTAGAGGCGAGTGTGCACTGCCCATCCTGCACAGGCCACCGTCCACACTGTACAATGTACGATATCCCCATGACCATTTAGTTAAAAAATCTTGAGGATTTACATCAATAAAAACACGTCCACCATCAATTGGTGCATTAATATTCACCATAATTCAGAAGATTGAGCGTTTGACACAGAACATATGAACCTGCTTATGTGCATCTCACTATGAGTGATCTGCCCTTTAAATGGCAAGAAGGTACTGCGACATTGTAGAGTGGTTGAAGAAAAATGGTTCCCATATTAAAACACAGTGTGGCCAAATAACAAAGTAAGTCGGACTGAAAGTACCACTCAGCACCAGGTGGTAGATGAAGCTCCATGACTTGTTTATCTGAGGACAGGCTTAATTTTTGAGTGAAACACATAACAGGGGAACCTCTGCTTTTCATGCACTCTCGATGACTAAGGTTTTTCTTTGTTTTTATCTGTTTCAGAATCAGAATCAGCTTTATTGGCCATGTGTGCGTACTCATACAAGGAAGTTGCCTCCGCTTACACTGGAGGTCTCAACGAGACGAGACAAATATAAAAATAGACAAGGATTACGGCGTAATCAACAAACTCGAGGCATCAAAACGTCCACACACCATCGGTGACGTCAAGGTGACTATGCCCGCTTCTTATACGCGGTCTGTGGTACATACGAGAGTAAAGACTGAAGCCAGAGCTGTGCGTTGCGCTGAGAATGTTCCCATCTTTAATACCACTACTAGAGTCAGTTTAGTCATCTGTAGCATCTGGCTGGGTTTATTTCTTGACAATAATGTCCACACGCGATCCAACACACCTCTGGTCAAGCGTCCCGGTCGTCCTCCTTGCAGACATTCTGTCCTCTGACTGGAAAACTTCTCCACTGGAGAGCTTCCAAACCCGCTCTGGCCGCACCGTCTCCCTGACACGTCCAGTGTTTGGACAGCGGAGCGTTGATGAATGGCCCAACGGTAACGGGTCAGTGCGACTGAACACAGTTGGGCCTCGGAGGTGGGTGGAATGTAGTTTAACAGCGGAGCCGAGGTGTTAAAAAATACCGAGCCGAGCTGATATCAAACACACACGAAGCGGCCCCGTGTCTAGAGGTGGGGCGGACTGCAAAGACCAGTTATGAGAAAGTCAAGTGTGTCCAGTCACCATCACCGTGCACCGCGCTGTGTCATCACCCCATTCATCCCATACTCAGTCAGGCCAAGTGATGGACATGTGAAACCAAGAGTATTACCTTGTTTACCTCGAGTAGCGCTGTAGAGCAAACTTTCTTTTGTCCCCAAGTAGTTATTTAGGGTACAGCCTGGATAAGAAAGGTACTTATTCACCTACAGGTTTGAGGCCTACAATTGAACACCTGAATAAGATACTTTTAGGATATGAAAAGATCAGGCTTTCATAATAATATAAATGATTCACACATCTCCGGCCGAGGGTTTATCAGGCATTGAGTGCATTAAAAACAACACATTCATAGCTGGATGTTCTGTTCCATGACGCACTTTGAGCAGCAGATCATTTCATCAATGGAAGCCAACATTTCCAACACGGAGATGTGGCTGTTGGACACGATTCACACCGGCACGGTTTTCAGTCACACGTTTCTTCAGAAAGAATGCAGAGATAACCTCTGGGATGCACATGAGTGGGGGAGTTTGAAGCGGAAGATTCACAAGGTGATGCTGAACATTCCTCACATTTCCCAGATCCCCTC